TAGAACTGCTGGTATCTTTCTGTTGAAGAAAGAAAAGCTCACAAGTATTGCTGAAATTACTCGAATAGATTGAAATTTACAAAAGATCAAAAAGTACAATACTGTAGCTGAATTTCAAAACTGTATCTATGATCAGTTGAGAGCAAGACTGAACTTGACAAAACAGTGGTTTCCCTAACCCAGGGTCGGCAACCTGTTCCCATCAAAGAGCCATTATTACCCGTTCCCCACAGTAAAGAAAACACCGCAGCAGCCGCGGCGTTGTGGGCGGGGCCTACCCTCAGACAGCAGAGAGCTGCTCACAACAGGTGACAGCAGCCGGTACCGGTCGCTCGTGTACGTCAAAGTTATCTTTCATAAGACGATAATCAATAAAACGATTTATATAAAGTGGATCCAGAAGTTGTAGCCCGTCTCTGCCGACAATATTTAGATATTTTTCACCCTGTTGGTGGTTTTACTGAGCAGGTGCCACTTTTGTCATACGTTTCTTTTTAAAACATGTTTAGACTGTTCAGAATACAAATCCAGGCTCTGTCACGTTTGATTGTTGTAATTAAACTTTGTAGGTGGGGAAGGTCAGAAAAGGATCCGATCATTTTGTTTTTCCCTCATTTACAGCGACGGAGATAACGGCGCAGTGCGCCTGCCTCTGGTGTTAATCAAGTTAAATTTTATCTCTTTGCAACAAATTTCACAAGAAAACAGATCAGTTAAAAGCAGGGCTTGTGTTGACCGGACAGTTCCCGTATTTGACCGTTTATTTTGACGGAGAAAGAATAGAAAGAATTACCCCGACGCATGCAGACGAACCGACACTTTATTCGTTTAGCTAATCGCAGATGTAGCTAAATCACTCAAGAAAAGATTCCCATCTGAACATCTGAGCTGGACACTGCTCAGCGCAGCTCACTGTCAGCGTGTACTACGTAAGGTGCACAGCGAGCTGAAGATGTGGAGAGGGGCTTGGAGCTCGTCGCAGAACCAGAGCGCATGCGGGAAGATTCCTCCGACTGAAGCGAGACTTGTCACTTAGAAAATGTTCCCTGATTATGAAACTTTGGCTGAATTGTGCTTGTTCCTGTCTCCAATGTGGCGACACATCCAGGAGCCGTCTGAGGAGAAGCCCAGAATCTCACATCCTCTTCAGCTCAGAAAGCGCCGATATGATTACGCACAAGCGTGACGCGTCAACCCGGTCTCACAGTAAGACCGGGTTGGAGCTGTTCAGGTTTACGCAGACAATCTTTACATTTAACTGGCATACAGATGTAAAATTAATGCAGTAAAATATAAAGCATTTTATTTAAATATCCATTCATTATTTTACAAGCACAGAGAGCCGCATCAGATGGATGGAAGAGCCGCATGCGGCTCCAGAGCCGCGGGTTGCCGACCCCCGCCCTAACCCCAAATCTACACTGGAGGCACAAGCGGCACGGAACGGCAACAGAAGGTTGCTGCTTCAGAGAATCCATTATAGTCCCTAGGGTTGATTCAAACTGGCTGCAGCGCGCTACATTTCAAGCTTGTCCCAGAAGCAGCTAAAGATAGGACCAGCTAACAAAGGGCTAGACAGGAAATAACACAAGATTTCAGTGTAAAATGTCCGGTTATTTTCAAAATAAAAGACTATTGCTGAGATGTGATTTCTTATCTATGTAGATTATGTCAATACATGCGACCTAACGGTTTATTTGCTCTCAGCATATTTCGAAAAGTGCAATGATGTGTTTTTATGATTTTATCCTGGCAGTGGAGAGGCACAACATCAAATAAAGAACATCCAACAGTGATGTCAAACATAATCTCTTCCTTCTTCTTCATTTAGTCGTGGATAGCATAAACAAACCATGACTTTTGAAGTCTCAAGGCATTTTGTGATTCCTCAAATCCAGCGAGGAGGACAGCGAAGATGCCACTCCATGGCTGAGATACATCCCCGGCACCGCGAAGCACGTGAGTAAACCATCCCGCTGTCATTCCGCACCGCTGATTCCTCCAGTGAGGATTTGGGGTCAGAAAGATAAAATAGAGAAAAAATAAAATGTGACCTTGGGGACATGCGTCTTCAGTCTTGTAACCATTCAGTCTGCCCAGTTGTCGCAGTGCTCTTAGGCATCAGGGTGTGTACCACACTGAACATAGACCACAGACAGCTAAGGACAGCATTGTCTCAGGAGACTAGAAAGACATTGAATGACCAGTATGTAAAAGGTAGCGGTCTCCAAGTAGCTTGATGTTTTTGTGTTGAAGATGTCAGAGGTCCACTTGACAGTAGACAACTGCCCTGGATGTGACCACAAGAAGACACGCGGTGACAACCTGAAGAGACGATGATATGAATGGTAACCAAAGAACCCAGAACTCCTTCCAAAGAGATTAGAGGTGAACTCCAAGGTCCATTAGTGTCGGATCACACAGTTCATTGCTGAGTTAAATAAATCACTTGACTGCCTCAAAAGCTGCATCATGAAAGCAAGAAGTAACACATTTTGAATGGAGGCCACTTTCATTTGTTTTAGAGCGTTTCTGTTCTTCGTTCAGAAATGACAAACGCATATTTGGAGAAAACTTGGTCTCTCCCTGATGCT